TAACGGTTACAAACCCTGACAGAATGGTTCCGTAACGGGACATTAGCATCTTCCTATGGAAATTAATGCTGCAAGTGAAATACTCTTGTCCAACTTATGGACCTTCACACATGAGAATAAATGAACAATTAAATTTTCCCTTATCTGTTAGCCTCGGAAAAATGCACGTCGCAGTAAATGCAAAGCCTCAGTATTGTCACAAAATTAAATAGATAGATATGCGCTTTGCTGAGTTTTTACAGCACAATGCATTCAATATTATCAAATGTCAACTATCCCTCAAATAAGCCTAATGAGAAAACTTAGGCTATATTTGGTAAAACTAGCTGATAAGCTAGCTGATAGCTGATAAGCTAGCTTATAATTTATATGTAATTTTCGAGTTTATAGCTTATAACTTATAGAGTTATAGCTGAAAAGCTAGCTTATATGATAAAAGTGTTTGGTAAAATTAGCTGATAAGCTAGCTGGAATAAAAAAATTCAACTAGCTTATTTGAAAAGCTACCTAAACAAGCTTATCAAATAAGCTCGAGCTTTTTAAATAAGCTCGTCCTATCAAACGGGGCTTATTTAAATACAGAAAACTTATAAGCTAACCAAATAAACTATAAGCGACCTTATTTGATTTACCAAACATAACCTAGGTTTCTTGTCAGCTCTTAGTTAGAGTCTCATATTTTTCTAATAAATATATAAAAAAAATAATTATCAAAACATTATATATTAATATAAACTATCAACGGAAGTATGCGAATGAAAAATAGTAAAAAAACTCTTATCGGGCTTTACTCGGCCCCTTTTCTAGTTGGGCTCTTCGCCAAATTCTAAACCTCCACATGATCCAAATAAGAATATTTTGGGCTGATCCAAAATTATTGATTACACATGCAAGTACAAGATTCTCTCTTATAAATAAACTAGTGCAGATCCCGTGCGATACGTGCACAAAATTAAGGTCATTTATCAAGTCTTATAATTATATAAATGAATAATGAAAAATATACGGGATATATATAGTACGCGACCTGTAATAGGCCAAAATGTGAAACGGGTGATGCACGGGGTGCACAATTTTCTAGTATGTATAATATAAATACATACCGTATGCACGGGACAGAAGCACTAAATGAGTTATTTTCACAGAGCTTGCTCGTTAAGTAGCTCCTGAACACGGGTGCATAATTTGTAGTACGTATTATAAAATCAGAACAAATTTCCATACAATTAGATAATAAATAAAGCCTTTTTTATTTAGTAAAGATTTTACGTACTTTTTTTACTTATCGGATGTTATGAGATTTTTTTTGTTAAACCGATTTGATGGGATATAATACAAATACAATTAGAGGAATGAACAAAATCAGAACAGATTTCTATACAATTGGATAATAAGAATGAATTAGATAAAGAAAAGAAGAAATTAGATAAAGAATTTTGAATCTACTTTTTTTTTTTTAGTATAAATAGACTTTACGTACAAATTTTGACTTCACCGACTTTATGAGATTTGTTTTGAATAAATCAAAGACAAACACTGAAAAATGTTTCTATTAACATTACAATGTATATTTAATGTTTTTTTTTTGGCAAATTATTCTTTTTAAGTGTGATATATAAATATTAAAAATACTTAAAATATTTTATAACATTTTTAAAAGCATCTAAAGTATTCTATATTACTCACAAATAATGTTTGAAGCTACCTAAATTTTTTTAAACTACCCGTAAAGAAAATATGTCTAAAAATTTTTCATTTAACCTCCATATATGTATATATATAGAGAGAGCAAATGTGTAAAACATTTATACAAATAATAATTAAAAGTATCTAAAATATTAGTAATTAGACATGCGAAATTTAGATTTTTTGAAAAGTCTATATAGATAATGGATTTATAGTAATAATTAGACTTTTATTTATTTACCTTTAAAGTTGTTACGATAGATGATGGATGTGATTTTTTTGACTCATGGAGATGAAATTTTATAAGTTGGGTTATAAAATTTTCTTAAACTCGTCCATATCTATGAGATGAGTTTTTTAAGCTGGTTATATAGATTTAAAATTGTAAAAAAATAAAAAAACTTTCATAAATTATTTGATTTGGTATTTTCGGAGAGCTTCATTAATTTAAAAGTGTAAAATAAATAAATAAATAAAGTACAACTAAAAAAGTTACAGCCAATTGTATGGAGAATTAAACTAAATCCAATTTTGTAGGATGCATTAAATATTGATTAGATTTTATATGTAAAATAAAATAAAAAATAACTGGAATAGTTTTACGTATTGCAATATTTTATATTTAAAAAAAAATAAAAAATCTTCTTTTACGTATTCCATACCAACATTTTAAGAACTACATGAATATTCCTAAATTAATATTGCATACTCAATATTTTAGGAACTAATTAAATGCTAATTTGATTTGCATACCAAAAATATTAGATGCATTAATTAAATGCTTGATAAAAATAACAAATCATTAATTAGAGTTGATTATTCTACATACTACATTTAGTAAACAGTATAGCTTTTAATATAAGTATAGATATTCAGTTATTTATAAATTATTAATTTGTCTTTGCTTTAAGGAATGAAAAAAAAAAATTATCTTGTACTTGCATATAATATGAAACAAAAAATATTTGGAAATGCGATACATATCGACGGAACGGAGGATCACACGTCATTTTTGCGTTTGACCTTGTCCACGTGGCAATCTGCCTTTAATAATCCAAATATATGTAAATTCATCAATTATTAAAAAAGTCAATCCTAAGTGTCCTTTGGATCACAGTCACATGCACCAATGTACGTTGATCCAAAATTAAATAAAAAAAAGCCCCAATTATTGAAGTGTGTAATAATGTACGGACTTTCTTCTTGGCTCGTTTGAACAAATATTTCATCTGGAAAACGGATTTGTGCACAATTCAAACTGTAATGTGAATGTACATGAAATAAGTTTAGATAGCTTTCCAAATAAAGTCAAATAATTTTTTATTTCGGTTAACTTATCAGTTAATTTTACCAAACACTTCTATTATATAATCTAAATTTCCAGCCATAAATCATAAGCTATCAATTATAAGCTCGAAATTCACTTTAAAGCTATACACTAGCTTACCAGCTACGTTTACTAAATACAATATATCGTTGTCCATCAACCAAAGCCATGCATACATTAGGACCAATATCAAACTTTCAGTTCATCGAAAACAAAATCGACCCATGAGCATAATTATGCAATGTCCCTACCTCAAACCGACCTTTACCAACGTTTGAATGAGTTTTCTATCGCCACGAAAAAAAGAAGAAGAAAAGATTCATTCATGGGGGTCCCAATCAAAAGAGAACAATACAATGAGCAAAAGAGAGTGATCACACTGTCTAGAAAAGGGTTCAACAACAATTATTGGAGTTAGACAAGAAAAAAAGGATGAGAAAGTAGAAAGAAACACAGCCAATTGATACCAACTATAGCTAACAACTCAGCCAGCTTTGTGCTTTAACCAATATTTATGAATACCCTAAACTTTTCTAATCATCCAAGATTCAAGATCGAAGGAAGTCTTAAAGCTTTTTAAGTATTGACCCTTTGGCTAAAGCAACGATCGAACCTCGCCCAAAGAAGGCCATTGTATAAATTGTAATAACCAAAAAAA